AGATAGTACCCCTTTTTGGGTTATCTCCTGCCACTATTTCTCTCAAGAGATATTATGAAATGGGGAAAGATTTATTATTTTTCTACAATAATGCACAATATCCACACCCATATTAATATATACTTTTGCAAAACCCAGAAACAAAAGGCCTTAAGATTCTGTGATTCTTAAATTATTCAAATTCTAGATCCTCCCTCTATCCCTTTCCTTCTCTTCCTTCTCTTTTTCTCCATCCTTTCTCTCCTTTTCTTCTCCAGCTCCTATTGGTCCTTCTTTCTTCTACACACACACACACACACACACACACACACACACACACACACACACACTATTTATTATTATTTATTATTAGCCCTTAGAAGTTCATAAGGTCTATTCCACAATTTGATCAATGTCACAAGGGTGATACACTCCTAGAGCACTGTAGAAAATGTCCCTGGGTGGGCCTGAACCACATTCCTTTTGCCAGATGTGTATATTCAAAAAATTAAATATGAAAGGCCGTGCTGCTCCCCCAACCCCTGGGAGGCCAATGACAATATGCAGGCAGTGGAAGGAACGAGGGTCATGATGGTCAGTGTCTTGCAATTTATTCCATTCCTGTCTCCATTCTCCTCTGATTCTCCTGCGCTCTCTCTCTCTCTCTCTCTCTGGTTCTTCCTGAAGACATCTCACTATATATTCCAGACCACAGTCCTCAAGCCAGCTTAGCCTTCCTAACCCCAGCAGGGTCCTTATTCAGTTACCTCTTTTGGGTCATAACAGTTTGTCCATGACTGTGCTCTTAACTTATAGTTAAGTATTATGGCACTTGGCCTGGCGCATTTCGATACCAGGGTAGCTCACAGCTTGTCCTGGGTCCATTCAGTCCCTCTTCAGGCTTAGTTCCCAGCTTTTGGGATGCTGGGAACTAGGGGCAACTGAGGTTTTAGTCGAGAAAGCAGATGTCCAGGAGTGAATATTATTCACAGTCAATTAATTCCCAAATTACAAAAGCATCATATTAACTGTCTTCCTGTGTCCATACAAAAAGGACATTGCTTTAAACTATGCAAAAGACTTAAGGATTGGAGAAAGGCAGTATTTTACTCATGAATACAAGTCAAGTGTCCTTAGAAGGATCTGACCTTACAGGTCAACAGAATCTGATTAGGGGGAAAAGGTGATTAACTAGTTGGGCAGGGGGGCACACAAAAGAGTTTACAGATAAATAAAGGAATGGGAGTGACTCGGGAGCACTATAATGGGAATAATTCAATAAATCTAAGCTCCCCGTGGCAAGGGAGAAAGGACAAACCAATGTTATCCTACATCTGTGGTGCATTTAGTGACTATGGAAGATTTCTTCTTTTCACTAAATCACTGTTTTCATTGTGCTCTTGCATTGGCATCTGGTAGAATTGGTTGGTGGGGTAAGATACAGGGTCAGCAGCTCAAAAGGAGTTCAGAATGTTGGCTTCCCGTACTTCCCAAGGGAAGTGAAATGTTGAACTCGCAACACTTGCGATGTAGGTTATCTGGCCCTTCAAATAAAGCTCCCTCTGGTGCTTTGCAGAAATGACAGAAAACTCATTTGGTGATGAGTTCGATCTCTCCATGAACTCCTTCTGTCATGCTTTAGAAAAAGAGCAGGTGGTTCATAAATTAGAAAAAGTTTCATAGAAGTACTAAGATCTCCTCAAAGAAGCAAAAACTTATGGCTTGGGAATAAGTTCAGCACCACTGAATGAAAATAAAAGTGCAAACAAATCGCTATTTTCTCTTTATTTCTATCTTGTAGTGGGGAGTCATCTTCCTGATGCATACTGAACTTGTGTTGAGTGGTGATTATGTTACAGGTGTCATGCTAAGGGGGGCAGTTCTAGTCCATCTTACTCCCAAGAATGTCAGGGTCCAGGGAGGTTAATAAAGTATCGTTCAATTGTCAGGTGGTAGAAACATTGATTTAGATCTACTTGTCCAACTTCAAAGTAGATGTCTGTACAAAGTAACCTTTGTTTTTCCTCTGTCAGTAACTTTGTATTCTTGTTTTGCTGTTTTTTTTTTCATTAACTTGACAAAACATATCTCTTAAGAGGGAACCCCTTAACATTTCCATTTGTTGTTAAAATTTGTGGTATGTGAAAGGAGACTCAATTTGAAAGCAAATATAGTTATTATTAAGCAATACATGTATATATATATATTTTTTAAAAAAGGTATTCCCAAGTGATAGTAGAAAAAAAGACAAACAACAGACACTGTCCTCCTGTTGTTTATCGACTTGCTCGAGTGGGTCCAGTAACATCTCCATTTTGAGACTTGTTGTCACTGTGTTTTGCATATCGAATATGTCATGGGGAGCTTGCCAGGCTTTGCCGTGCGGGCGAGATACTCTCAGTAGCTTGCTGGGCTGTCCGAGAGGTGCGGAGGAATCAAACCTGGCTCAGCCCGGCAAGCTGCGTGCAAGGCAAACGCCCTACCGCTGTGCTATCGCAATTCATTTGGTGTTCATGGGTGGAATTTTTAATAATATTTTCAATGTTTGTACATAGTGTCTAGCACAGACATTTGGTATATAATAATTTAGTAAATACTCATGATTGGTCCTGTCACTGTGCTGTCACTGTCCTCCCGTTGTTCATCGATTTGCTCGAGTGGGGCAAGTAACGTCTCCATTGGAGACTTTGTTGTTACTGTGTTTGGCATATCAGATACATCACGGGTAGCTTGCCAGGCTCTGCCATGCGGGCGAGATACTCTTGGTAGCTTGCCGGGCTCTCCGAGAGGGGCAGAGGAATCGAACTCGGGTCGGCCATGTTGGCTGCGTGCAAGGCAAACGCCCTACTGCTGTGCTATCACCTCCTTAGCGCAGTAGGCAGCGCGTCAGTCTCACTCATGATTGGTAGTAATTAATATTGTTTTTAGTTTCTATCTCACTTTCATGATAGGTAAAACCTTTTCCCTATGGGCACTTTGTTGGTAGAAATGCTTTTTCCTGAATACCCTTACAATCTAATCCATAACCCTCAACAGTTAGCCTAAGGTCGTTCTGTAGTACCACTTGAGTTTGGATATCTACTTACCTATCACATATCATCAGAATTTATTTGAAAGTGGTACATTTGGGTAATCAAGGGTCTTGTCTCTCCAACCTAAGTGTGTCAGAAAAATTGGAGGACTTGCTAAAAGGTGGTTTGACATAAAACTCTGGTATTTGGTCAGAAACCATAGGGCATCTGAAGGGATGCTCACGAGTGAGCATTTCTACCTAGATCCCAGGTGCTGTTGCTGCAGATGGTTCTGGGTACTTCTAACTCTTTCTCCACTCTGGGGGAGGGGCCTTGCCCCTTTGTAACAGTCATAGCTACCCACTGAGTCAATATCATTGATATTTTTGCAGTTGAAATAATATAGAGAAATTGGGCTGTTAGTCTCGATTATGCTTACTCCTTCTTGAGGTTCCTTTTGTCTTCAAGGATTTCCAGTACAGGTTTTCACGTGTTTCTATTATTCATCTAATTCAGGACACAAGATGTAAGTTGTTTTTATTTTTATTACTTTTAAGGTGATTTTTATTCATTCTAACTGATTTACAAGAATTTCACTTTTAAAATAGCAGGCCTTATTTTCAAGAATTTTTTTTTTAAACCTGAAATTCGACAAGTCAGATTGAGTTCAGTGTGGCGCTTATCATTCAAACTCACAAATTTCACTCAGAATTCCACTTATACCAACATAACAATCTTAACTTCTCCTTTGTAAAGTGTCTCTTATACCTCTGGAGATAGGATGGTATAGAGGGGTTATTCTCTTCAAGAAGAAAAGGCAATCAGACAATCTTTGTCCATGAGATTAGACTGAAATGCACCTTCCTTTAGTGATTACTTTATGTGCCAGGCACCATGGTGAAAATCTGTGCCAAGGTAATTTTATCTTTCTCTCGCACAACGAGGGATTTCGGTGGATTGTAGCTTAATATGATCTAAGTGTGTGATGAGATTACCTGCACACTTAATGCAGTCGGAGGCTTCATTAATAGCAATAGCATTAGCATTAGATAAATCGGAATCTGCCCTTATTGGGCACCATCTCGTCAGTGCCTGCCTTGGACGTGTGCAACTCACAATGGAGTTGAGTCAGACTTGAGGGTGAGGGGAGGTACCTTCAAGTGTGGATTTTATAGACATAACTTGCTGAGATTTATCACTTATATCTATAAAGGACGGGTATAGGCAAGGAAAGGTTTTTTTTTTTTTTTTTTTTTTTTTTTGCTCTTTGGGTCACACCTGGTGATGCACAGTGGTTACTCCTGGCTCATGCACTCAGGAATTACTCCTGGCAGTGCTCAATGGACCATATGGGATGCTGGGACTCGAACCCGGTTGGCCACGTGCAAATGCCCCCTACCGCTGTGCCCCAGGGATAGAATTTTTTAGGAGGACAGATTGCAATTTTACAGAAGAATTTTGGGGCTGAGCGATAATACATCAGGCAGGTTGCTAGCCTTGCAGGCATCTGACCCAGGTTCAGTCTCTGGCACTCCATATTGTCCTCTGGGTACCACTAGGAGTGAATGCAGAGCCAGGAGTAAACCCTGGTGTGGCTGACTCCACCCCCATGAAAGAAAGACCTTTGTGAAAGTGGTTCAGCAATCAAATCAATAAGTTGCTTCATGACCTTTGAATTCTGTTATTTTTAAGTCTTTCCTTAGAAGATGCCTAGGGGTATAGTAAAACATATACCTGGTTGTTAACTCTATGATTATCTGTTTCTATCTTTTCTTTTTTGAGGGGAGGGTGCCTGACACCCAGTGGTGCTCAGGGGCCACTCCTGGCTATGTGCTCAGGGGCACACCTGAGGGGATCAGGGATTCAAAACAAGATTTAAGGCAAGACAAGCACCTTAACTTCTGTATTATCTCTTTCAGTTCATTTCTGTATTTCCATCCAGATATTTTGTTAAAAAATGTCAACTACGCAGATCATCCTTGTTTAGGGAAACCTTTCTTGTCCTTTCAGATTAAAGCAGAGCAAAGAACTGGAGCAGCTAACCAGAGCTATTCTTCGAGAGAGAATATCAAGCGAGGAAGAGCGCTCGAAGGCAAAAACCCTGGTAAGAAAGACAAATCTAGTAGTAATGTCTTATCGTCAAGGACCCCTTGCACTTTCATGAACATCTCTTGCTAACCTGTCATATTGACATTATTCATGTCCTTTTTGCTAATACACTCTTGGTTTTGGCTTTTTCCGTGTAACTGATAGTTCACCCAGACTAGCCATCATGACTCGAGAATTTTCTGAAGTAAGAAGAAATCTGCATGTGTGCCCACATTCTCTGGGCAGAAGAGAACATCTTTCCATCTCCTTATCAGTTTATTGTATTTGAAACCTCTAGGGTGACCCGCCTAACTTGTTCCTCTCCCTGTTGCCGAGCACTCGATGTTAATCTGAACAGTGCCCAGCAAAGGCTAGTAAGGTTTGATTCATCACTATGTGGGCTTTAGAGAGGGAAAACGTAATGCAGAACTTTGCAAAACCACCTTTTTTCTGGGAATGGCGGTGGTGGTGGTTCATTTTTTGGCTACACCTGGAGTGCTCAGGATGATTCCTGACTGTGCTCAGGGATCATTCCTCGTGGGGTACAGGGGACCACACCAAATGCCAAGGATCGAGCTAGAGTCATTTGCCCTCAAACCATCTTTTTTTTTTTTTTTTTAAAAAAGGCTTATTTTATTTTATTTTTTCTTTTTTTGGGTCACACCCGGCGATGCACAGGGGTTACTCCTAGCTCTGCATTCAGGAATTACTCCTGGCGGTGCTCAGGGGACCATATGGGATGCTGGGAATCAAACCTGTGTTGGCTGCATGCAAGGTAAACGCCCTACCCGCTGTGCTATCACTCCAGCCCCATCAAACCATCTTTTTTAAGGCAAAAAAAAAAAAAATATTCTGGGGGATGCCTCCCTGGCTTGCCAGGATTCACTGGGGCTCTACCTGGAAGTGTGCAGAAGACCATTCAATGCCAGGGATTGAGTGCAGGGTTTTGGAGTTGGCACACGCTCCAGCCCTTTATCTCACTAGCCCAAGAAACATATATTTTCTGTTTTCTTGTTTGGGGGTTGCACCTCTCAGTGCTCAGGGATTTGTCCTGTCTCTGTGCTCACTCCCTGCGGTACTCAGGGGCTTTTACGCAGTGGCAGGGATTGAAGCAGGCAAGTACAGGTACTATTTTCCAGCTGGAAACACTAATTTTTTTTTTTTTTTTTTTTTGCTTTTTGGGTCACACCTGGCAATGCACAGGGGTTCCTCTTGGCTTAGCACTCAGGAATTACTCCTGATGGTGCTCAGGGGACCATATGGGGTGCTGGGAATTGAACCCGGGTTGGCTGCATGCAAGGCAAACACCCTACCCACTGTGCTGTCGCTCCAGCCCCAATTTTTTTTTTCAATAAAAGAAAAATGTTCAAAATTTTTATAAGAAATAATTACATAAATGTGTTTTAAAATAATTATTTATCAGAGAAAAAATAAAAAGCACCCCCTGAATCTGTCACCCTCCTGCACCACAGTTTTGCTGGGGTGTGCTTTGCTGTCAACAGAATTATCCCTTGAGATAATGCTATAAGGTTTGGTTTTGGGGTCACACCCAGCTGTGCTATAAGGTTTGGTTTTGGGGCCACACCCAGCTGTGCTCAGGGTTAATTCCTGGCTCTGCTCTCAGGGATGACTCCTGGGAGACATCAGGGACCATATGGGGTGCTGGGGATTGAACCAGGCTCAGATACGTGCAAGGCAAGCACCCTTGGACTTTCTCTCTGGCCCCTGTATTGTGCTTTTGGATCACACTTGGAGGTGTGGGAGACTCAACAAATATTCCTCTTAAATGCACTTTTGAATGACCTAAGAGTTCTCTGGTTTGTTTGTTTATTTATTTTGCATGTGTCTCCAATATAATTGATTCAAGAACTTCTTGTGGGGTAAAAAGGTAGTAGGGCTGGAAGCTGGGGTCCTGACTGCTAAGTTTCTGTGGAAACCTCGTAGCCTCTGATTCTGAAGAGTTCCTTATACTTTTCAAGTTTTTTGTGCCCAGTGGGATATCTTCTGACTGTGCAGTGGCGCCCTGGAACTGCAGACTGTGTGGAGTGTCCCTCCATCAGCATGTCACTGGCCCCTTTGTAAATCAGGAGCGAGGGTTGGTTTCTGTTCTCGACTCTTTCCCATGGTGATTTCTCCGAGATGCCAACCTAGGACTGCATGCCAGCAGAGGAGCGAGAAAGAAGCCGGTGTGTATTGAACCCCATTTGGTTGGTGACTAACCCAAAGGTTCTGGGCCAGATGAAGTGATGGTAAAGCCAGAACAGAACCAGTGGACTCAGAAATGTCAGGGGACTGGCCGGCAGCCATCGCCAGCGCACTCATATGGAGTGGAACTGAGCCCAGGAGAAAGGGGAAGGACAGTCATTTGTTATGAAAGGGATAATTTCAGCATTCTGCACGTTCCTTGTTGAGTGAGTCAGTCATTACCAACATTTGGACTCTTTCGTCTTGAGAGCCTTTGGAAGAAACTGAAAATTTATCCAAGGATGTTACAGCTTCCCCATCTGGGGGCCAGGGCACAGAGCAGAGGGTAATTGAGCCCTTGTGTGAGAAGGGGAGGGGGGAGTGAGCGTCTTAAGTTTCCAGAGCATAGCAGAATCTTGGTTGGCATTTTCCCTTCCTGTTCCAGCATTTGCTGCCTCTTGGCCTCCATACCCTCTTTTCTGTGCTTTAGCTTGCTGAAGTTTGGATATCGTGTCCTGTTCTCGCTTGATTGGGATTTTTCAACAAACTTTAAAAATAATGCAGATGACAAGGCATGGAAAGAGGGAGTGTCTCATTAAAAAAAAATCTGGAAGTCTCAAAATCTTTCTTAGCTAGCAGCCATTAAAATGGCATTCACCCAAGTTTTCTTGGAGCCGTGTCTCTCTGGCCCCTTTTCTGTTTGCTCCTTGTAAATCTGGTCAAGCAACTGTGTAAGTTTCTTTGAGCAGAATAAACAGAAGAAGGACCCTAACATTGCATATTGTTCTCCTGAGGTCTCTTCGTTATGGATCCTGAGGTTCTTTCTTAGTATGCATGGCAGATTATCTAACCATTCCCGTTCCCGTAGTTATTACCCATAGTGGTTGGGTAATAACTGGAAGAAAGGTCTCAAAGAGATCTGAGGATACCCATATTCCTAGCAGCCTCTGCACAGTAAAAGAGGCATGCCATGAATGCAGGACTGAAACCACAGTGTAGAGACACAAGACACACTGCACTCTCATTAGTCTTAAAATGAAGGGTGGGTTGGTAGGTGGTTGTGTGTGTGTGGGGGGGGGAGAGCGCGCAAGCTTGTGCTTGTGTGTGTGCGTGTGTGCGTGTGTGTGTGTGTTTGTGAGTTCCCAAAACAGAGTAGAGGGAGAGAGAGAGAGAGAAAGAGAATGGATGAGAGAATGAACACACCACTTGTAGCGCAGTAGCCTTACATGGAGCCGACGTGGGTTTCCATCCCTGTCATCCCATAAGGTCTCCCACGCCCTGCCGGCAGTGATCCCTGAACACAGAATCAGGAATAAGCCTGGAACACTGCCGCGTGTGCATACGTGCGTGCGCGCGCGTGCGCGCGCGCGTGTGTGTGTGTGTGTGTGTGTGTGTATGTGTATGTGTTCCCAAAACAGAGCATTAAAAGGCGGTTCAGACAACAGGCTGTAACACAGGTGAACCACCTTGAGGGTGTTATGCCAGGCAAAGAAAGATACAGACTCTGCTTCTCCGCAGAGATGACCTAGACGAGTGCGAGACCCAGAGTTAAAGGGGGGTACCTGAGTTGCAGGGAGAGAGCGGAAGAACTGTCCAAAGGGTATGGAGATCTAGTTTTGCCCCATAAGCATGTGGGTGATTTCTTTTACATTCTGTTTTACGCAATTGAAATCTAGGGCTGGGGATTTTGTGGGGTGAGGGGGTTGGGGGGAGGGTGGAAATATCACCAAGAGAATCAGCATTTGTGAGTGTTTCTGGGGCTTCTGATTTCACGCCTGCAACCCAGCACCCCTTATATAACAGAATTGTGTGTTGTGAAGTGTGACTTTAAACCCACTCTTATCACTCACTCCCAGAAGGGAAAAGGAGGGATCCTCAGAACCAGTGACTGACAGAGTCTCCCCAAACCCACGAGCATTGTTCTGGTGTGATCGCTGGGTCGTTTCCTACCCCTTCCTCCCCCCCACCCCCACTTGCTGCCGTTCCTCAGCCTAATGCGTGGGACGCTGAGCTGTGTGACCCCGCGTGGATTTGCGCCTCTTTATTTAGAACCCCAAATGTTGCAGGCGGCGAGAAAAGTAAAGGTTGGCTCTGACACGTGGGGAGGGATGGAAGGCTGTCTTTCAGGAGGAGTTGGGGGGAGGCAAGCCCACAGTGAATGTGATGCTGCCACAGCGCGTAAAGCCCCCTCCTTTCCCCTGCCCATATCCCTCCGCCCACCCCCAGTTGACATTTCGGGGGCCCTCGCACGAGATGTTCACGCAGGCTCTCCTTCCCACAGTTGTTGTCGCAGCTAGCTTTATTGGAAGCTCTTTGAAGGGCAAAGTCACCGCGGCCCCGTGGTTGAAGTTTTAAAATAGGAACAGATCAAAACTTTCTCCCCGGCGAGAGTTTCGGGGGCTGGAGAAGCCCGTTAGTCGTGCCCTAGATTCCGGGAGAGTCGGGCCAGCCCCTCCCTGGCCCGCTCTCTGCCGGGTACCAGCGTTCCCATCAGCTGATGTTAGCCCGAGGTGGTGAAGGGGGCAGTTTAACCCATCATCTCGCCCACGTGAACATGTTTGAGAAAAATGCACATTCAGGTCTCTCAGGAGCAGGAAGCCCCTCTGCAGAGGACAAAAACAAAGGCCAGCACCATCCCCAAACCTCTGTGGCTTGATGTTTTTGTGCATCTTTTAAGATCTCAATGTACCTGTGCCTTATTTTATTATACCATCAGGTTTTTTTTTTTCTTTTGAAAGGGGGTGGCGGTTGTACTTTAATGTTTTTGCCTCGCAGTAAGTTTTTTTTTTTTAAAGTGAAAGGAGTTTTCTCTCTTTTTTGCTTTGCAGTTAT